AAGAGCAGATTAAGGAGATTCTAAAGGGTCCTAAAGGAGGTCCTAAAAGCTCCCGAAGGAGGTTCTAAGAGCAGATTAAGGAGATTCTAAAGGGTCCTAAAGGAGGTCCTAAAAGCTCCCGAAGGAGGTTCTAAGAGCAGATTAAGGAGATTCTAAAGGGTCCTAAAGGAGGTCCTAAAGGCTTCTAAAGGAGGTTCTAAAGGTCCTGAAGGAGGTTCTAAAGGCTCCTAAAGGAGGTCCTAAAAGCTCCCGAAGGAGGTTCTAAGAGCTGATTAAGGAGATTCTAAAGGCAAATGAAGGTTCTCTGCTCCTAAATCAGGAATGGACTTGGAGGTCAATATTTTGAGAAATATTAGGTGGTATTTGTTTAATTCGTTTTTTTACCATCAGAAGTTGAAATCAGGAGAATCTAACATTCTCAGCGGTTCTGGTGGTTATAAACTCTCCTTCTCCATAAATACCCAATAAATGGAACTGAGTCTGGACCTGCATGGTGTCTGCGAGCAGACAGAGGTCTTTATCACTATCATCAGATGAGAGGCGCTGATCTAAACATCAAACAGCCTCTCAGTGACCGTTTTTCTGGGTTTTCATGTCAGACGTGTCCCACCTTTGCCCTCAGGGTCCGGTGTGCGCCCAGCCGTGCCCATTCGGCTGGTTTGGCATCAACTGCTCCGAGGAGTGCACGTGTCGTAACGGAGGACTGTGCGACCACATCAGCGGTCAGTGTCAGTGCACCGCAGGCTACATCGGAGAAAGGTGAGATCATTCGGGGTCATGTGGAGCATTTTCATAAGGAGATGCTGTGGTTTACATGTCAGACGTGTTCCTGTAGGACTCAGTAACCTTTCCACCTTCCCATTGCTCCTTGACCTGTCTGAATATTTACTCTTTAACCCTTCTATCCTCTGGACTTTAGCTCCTCTAACTCCCCCTCCTCATTATTCTCAATCGAGCCAAATTACCTCCATCCATTCCGGCTCCAGACAGGTGAATTAGCCTACATGGAATAATTCCCAGATTGACTTCTCTTCCTCTCCGTCCACGTTGTAATGGAATTAGCTGAGATAAGAGTCCCGAGGAAGTCGGCATGATTTAAACGTGACGTTGAACAGAAGTCCTCGCCGAGCAGTTTAATTGAGTGATTTGTCTATTTCTTAATGGTTTCAGCTGGTGGACGTGTGAAGAATTCAGCAGGCCAGACGCCGCTTCGAGACTTTTTTCTCTGGGTCTCTGTATAACTGGTACAGACACTCTGTGAGCTCCGCTCGGGGTCCTGGTTTACCGCTCGGCCCGTTGACCTCCTGAAATGTAGCAGCTTGCGTTGTTAGAGAAAAATGGTTTTATTGTCGAACAGGAGCCTCGTTAATCTGTCTCTGAATAATGAATGAATGTTTGAAGGACAATTTTTTACATTTAAAACCTGCTCTTAACATTTATTGTTAGATCTATTCAACTAATCACATTTCTACCCCTTTATTTTACCTTTTACAGAACAAAGAGACTTTCATTTTTTTGCCCTTTGGGTTAAAACGAGTAAATCCATTTTTCAAATAATGAAAAACTGCTCTGAAAAATGTTGTTCCAATACAAATTTAAAGGCTTAATTTTAAGTGATATGCCTATTTACTTATTTAATCCCAAAGTAATTAGTAATATAATCCAAGTTTCCTCAGATAGTTGCTGTAAAACAGTGGCTGTAGGCAGGAAGGATCTCCTGTATAAGTCTGTATTGCAGCGGCTCTGAAGACAGCCTCTGACTGAGGACACCTTCTTGATGTACAGGATCATCAATTTTCTTCATGCAGTCATTGCCTATGAAGCAATTCCTTACCCAAAGATGCATGTGGCGACAGTGGAGAGAAGGAGGGGGTGAAACCAGAACCTGGCTCAGTGTAAGCAGGCATCTAAGGTAGAAACAGGAGGCTTATATTCAGGGGGTGAAAAGAGAGAAAACCTTTCATTCACCAGTTTCAGGTCAGGTCGGAATGAATGAGTCATTTCCTTATTTCATTTTAATGTGTGAAATAAGAGCATGGGGCACAGTTCTGCAGGGTTCTGCAGAGTTCTGCCAATGGACCATCATTTGATTCAGGTGTGTTAAAAAAAAGGAAAGATCTAAAATATAAGGATAGCCAGTCAGTCCAGACTGACGTTGGGCAGAACTGGTCCAGTTTCTTTTCATAGTTTAATGAGCTTTTGATTGGTTGATTCCCAACATCCCAGTTGATGGAGGCGCACCTTAATTTGAGATATCAGGAGCACTTGTGTCCTTCACCTATAACCTGTGCATAACTTATGCGTAACATATCAAGAACATATATCCAACACATATCAATATATCTGACGTGTTCCAGACGACCGCTGGACGTGTTTCTAACTTCCAGCTACTGTATAATGGTGTATTGGCAGCGTTTTGGTATAAAGGAGGAAACCATCAGTTCTCCTCCCATCATAGGGTGAGTGAGAAGTTGAGTGTGATGGATCCTCCCTGCGTTCACGCCCACGGCCACGACCAACAAACTTCTTAGCAGACATGACGGTGAATCTGCTGCGACTGCAAACCTTCTTTCTTTCTTTTTTCTTTTTATTTATTTTTTATTTTTTTGGCAGGTGGTAAACATCAGCTAGGTTAATACCGCGATCAAACAAATCTTTTTGTGCAGTCCGGGCGCCTTCGGACACATTGCTGCCCGCCTCAGGACACTGGCTTGTGACATTTCTTGGGTATTACGCTGCCATACGTTATGCATAATTTAGGCTGTCGTTGGACAAACGCTCTGGACTTGTTTTGAATACTCTATGTATATCCCCAAAATTGAAAAAATATATAGAAAGTTCAGCGTATAACAGCGTTTTAGGAGATTCTTGGATGTCAGGTGTATGCTGGCTAAATCATCAAGGGGCTTACTGGAGAGAAAAAAAGGCTTCTTTACCTTGAAGGTGCAACAGTTTGGGGCTGGTAGTCGGTTGGCCTGTCTGCATGTATTTAGTTTGTAACCCTGCTTACTGACACTCCTACGCTCAGCTACGTATGGGCGATGCCTAAAAGGAAATAAGGAATAATGGAGAAATAAAAGTGAGTTATGATAGCAGTGGAGGTACGGACACACTGCGTTGGAAAGCTGTTACTCTGAAGGGTTTTCTGTGTTAGGAGGAGTGACATTTAAAGCTGTCTCTGGTTTGTTCTGTTCTGATTTTCTCTAAAGGCTGTTAATGTTTCCAAGCCCAGCATATTCTGTAACATACAGATCCTGGAAGGGCGAAACAAAAAGGGAAATAAACGTTCGGTTAGTGGGAGTTTCACTCTCTCTCACCTTCCATCATCTTGACTGAATCAAAGACGTGTCAACGATAGAAATAGCTGACTGTGAGTCTTTATTCAGCAAATTCCACACTAAAGAGTGAGGGTGTGTGTGACCTGCTCCTGCATGGGCGTGATGCATTCACTGACTGAAAGATTGGGTCATTTCATAGGAAGCAGATGTCATGGTTGGTTGTGGTTTGGAGGACCCAAATGCAGAGGCAGAGGTGAATACTTGTAGTTTTAATGAAAATGGTTAACAAAGGCAGTCCAAAAATCCAACTAAAAATGTAACTGACCAGAACCATGGAGACTTCGAGGGAAAACACGTAGAAGGAGCCAGGGAGAGACGAGGGGAGACGACTACAGCGAAGACAGCACCAGCAACAACAAGGAACCAGCAAAGAGTGAGAGCAGAGGGAGAGCATAAATAGCTGAGAGAGACAAAGGGAGGGCTAACGAGCTGACAAGGAGCAGGTGTGAGGAGACAACGAGGGAGCCAAGGGGAAAGGAACACACACACACAAGAGGGCAACAGAGGACAACATGAGAACTAACAAATCTAGAAATTACAACAAAATAGGAATTAAACCAATAAAAACTAGAAAACAAGGAGCAAAGTAAAGCACAACATAAACAAAACCATGACAGCAGAGCAACGACTTTAATCTGCAACTTAAAATAACAAACTTAACTTAAAGCCTAACTTTAATTTAAAGTCGTAGGGAAATCCTATTTAAATGTCAAATCATTCTGGCTTAAATATCTACATAAATGTACTCTATTGGACCATGTCGTCCCAAAAGTTAGAAAATTTCTATAAAAAAAAAAAAAAAATGTCTTAAAATCTGTGGGGGGGGGTTCGTTATTTTATGCAGGCCAGTTAGTTATACGTCAGCTTGAACACCTAAATTCGGCCAATCATATATCAACGGTCATCTGTTAATCACAATTTTTTTGGTCATAGCATCTTGATTCATATGTCGCAGCTAAT